ATTCTTTAGGGCAGTAGTTCTTATAAATCAAAGTGTTAAAATGTGTTGATTTTGCTATTCTTGCCAAGTGAGTTGATAATCAGCAACCTCAGTTGGAGATGATAGTGATAAAAACATTAGCATGTCTAAGCTTTAGACATAACTTCCTCGATTTCATTTTAGTCCTTGAATCCTCCACAATACTGGATGGGATCACCATAATAGCATTCTAAAAGTTGATGATAAACACAAAATTAAACCCAAAACAAGAGCTGACCATTTATTAGACTTTGTAAATATTCCAAAAGTGTACTCAAAATAGCTTTGCACCATTTGCACCTTAAACTTATCTAAATCATAAAACACACTAAGTTCCAACCATGTTTATATCCATGTTATAGATTTTATAGAGTGTGGACTATATTTGAACTCACAAGTTGAAGAGTTGAGCTCATAAGTTGAGCTCAAATTTCAATTGTAGTTTAATACAAACATTAAAAACTTTAAATAAGGTTATGAATTTAATAATTTCATACCTCCATACATATTATATAGATAAAAATGTTCTAAAGAGCACTTCTTGTTCTAACAATTTAAATATTTATTACATGCCATAATAGGGATATTTGTTAAAACAAAAAATAAGATGTTTGCAGAAAAAGTATTTTTATTACCAACATCTTCACCAGCAAAAGGAAAACAACACTTTAAGCGAACAATCTTCATATAACCAATAGAAGCTCAGGGAGTACTCCACTAATGGAAAAGGCAATATTAAAAGGCAATAAAATGAGAAGAAAAAATAGAAACCAACTTAAAAAGAGTGATGTCCCTACTGGAACATCTTAACTTCCCACCACCCTAACCATGACTCAAGTTGTAATAAACAATTTATATCCGTATGGCCATATTTACACCATCACATTCAAATCTTATTTGCTTTTACCTTATGCTCTTCTTTAGAATGTGCAATCTATCACTGTTTACACAACTCCTTAAACATTAATTGAAACTTTGGCCAGATAAAGTGGCAGTGTTAGTTTAGGATTTGAGCCCAATGGAACTCTCATAACCTTCCAATAATTGACCATTCCCAAAAATTGCTCGAACACCATTCCAATTTGCACTAGCCCCATCTATCATGAAACTGCGAAAGTTTGTAAGCTTATCAATCTGCTTTAGGACAATATCCGAAAGGGACTTCCAAAATATTTCTTGGGCTGTTTGGTCTTGTACTTTAAACTCTACTGTCACAATTGTCACCCTCTCGATATTCACATATCCAAAATTTTATTTTAAACAATATAATATAAGAAAAAGATATTATAGAAAAGAGCTCCCTGCTCAAGTTTTCTTTATCCTAGCTTTTGCATTTGCTTCTTCAGAAAATCAACGTTTTGTTTCACTTGGTTGCTTGTAACCAAGGAAAACTCTTTCATCATTGGCAGCTGTAGAAGTTTCACATTGATTGATATGGCCTTTTCCAGTAGTTGTCATCTGCTGCCGATACTGAGATTTCATGTTTAGCATCATCATTTTCATTTCAACTATCTGCAATCAGCAAGCATAGAAGAATTTAGAAGACCAAATAGAAGAAATGCTGGCTTACAAACAGAACTTGCCTTGACTTCGTACTCCATAGAGCACTCCAGTCAATTTTAACCTTGTTTATAGTCGTCTAAAAGTTCCTCCGGTAATGCGAGTGAGAAAGAAAGCAAGCATGTTAAAGCGGCAAACCTTCGTGACTTCTTTCTTCTTTAGGAAACAGGCTCCCGAATGTTCTGGTCACCTGGATTAAATGTTTCAAGAGTTAACTTCCTTCTCACCGACGATTGTAGTTGTTTTGGTCCAATCGTCCACTTGACTATTCAGCACTTGAGGAGTACTCCTGTCATCGCCACTGTACGATTCCTTACAAGCAGACTTGGTTCTAACTTCTACAGCATCTTTTCCGACGTCATTTTCCAGCTCATAGTGCAGCATCTGGTCAGCGTATTGTTGAGCTGGTTCTTTTGAAGCCCCTGTCATCACTGTCTCCTCAATTGAAACCAAAGTAGCCTTTTTCTTCGGAAGTTCTTGAGAATATGAAGTACAAGGCCCTTGGATGTATGGCCCTCTTTTCATGATCCCGGTGCTCAAACGCATCGAGATCACATCCAGTGAGGCCGATCGCAAGCTCGCAGCATCGCTCCCCAAGAAATTCGCGGCCGCTAGATTGCTCGAGGATGGAAGAGAGCTCCATGGCCAGATTGCCAGGGCGGGGCGCGATGGAGAGCTGAAAAGAAGAAACGAGTAAACAAACAAACTTCAAAGGAAAAGAGAGAACAAAAGCTTACCCGGAACATCCTTGGGGCGCCCTTGGCCTTGGCACCAGGAGGACGAGGCTGTCTCTCAAGTTTCGGAAGATACCAGCATTGGAGATCTCAATCTCTCAATCTCTCACACTCTAGCATGCTCAATCTTTTGCACTCTTACGTGCCCGATCTCTCGCAATCTCACATGCTCCATCTCTCACACTCTCTCGCTATCTCTCGATCTCTCTCACACTCTGGGAGGGAGCCTTAAAAAAACCTGGGCCTCAAGGCTGATGGCTGCCCTAACCCTAACCAATTTCTCATCCTGGCTGTTCATTCCAAATAACCTAAATCTCAGCTATCATAATATCTTTTGATCTTATTTTATCTTATAATTATTATTATATGTGAATTATGGTTCTTTATTTTGTATATTTTAATGATGATATAACTAGCACCTATCAACATTTCTGTTATTAGAGATATGATATTATTTTTTCCAAATTATCTAGAAAGGATGCATTTTCATCAATATTTTGTACATATTTTGAAATCATTACAAGAACTTTAAAGATTATAAATAAGGCATATTGAAATATATTGTACTATACTAATACATGAATGAATGAATTTTCATCCAGAAATTTAATTTTTTTTGTATTAGATCCTAAATGCATTAAATATCATTGAGTAGTATTCACAATTATGGATAAAACTCAAGTCATACTAAGAATTGAATCTATCATTGAAGAATTATCATTACTTAGCACTTAAGATTTGATAAAATTTATCATCACCTAACACTTAAGATTTAACAAACTTGACACATCACATGTGCTATTAGTTAGTTCAGACCTCTTGGATTGCCACATTATAGTCAAATGTCATTACTGATATCATTATTAATTATCAAACTTCATGTGTTGAAAATCCTTCTTTGGATTTATGTGCAAACATGCATCAAACATTATAATAGATTATAGTAACATTAAAACTATCACACTTGCATATGTTAAATTTGTTATAGAATTTAAATTCATTTTGTACGCTATTGACATTCTTTATATTGCTCTCCTTGAATTTCAATTTATATTTCACTATAGATTTTTACAAATAGTATAAAGAGAGAGAAAACTTCAAAAACTATTATGAAGAATGGAGAGGTTTTTTCCACATTTTCGAGATCACCCACCTCTTTTATTTTCTCAAAGTATTGTTTTCAAAAGTTTTTTACGTTGGCGTTTTGATTTTCGTCTTGGCTCTATTTTGTTAGAGGTTGTGATTCACAATGACACCGGTATAGTTGCATGCTCAAGGTTTCTTCTTTCCGGTGTGGGTGAGGGTAAACAGTAATAAGATTTGTAAAATTCTAAGTCGAAAGAGATTCGAGTTTTTGGATCTCAAATCAAAGTGCCAAGATGCACTCTAGAAAAAGTGAATGTAAAGCAAGAGTCAGTTGTCATCCTCTCCTCTTCTTTTAGTTTAAATGGAGAAGCCATGCTAGTATCAATGTCAAATTCACTAGCTCCATCTTCAACAATATTCAAAGCCTTTAACAATGCTTTCTAGTTTTCGCATGTCTCAGTTGACAAGTGCTTGTTTTTGTATAGATTCATAAGCAAACTTCCATCCTCCTACAATGGCAATATTTTTTTTGAGCTACCACTTCTTGTTAACAATATAGGTTTTAAACAGAAGGGGATGGAAACCAAGCAAAATGTCCACAATTGATGCAAGATTAAGACCACACACTTCCAACATTTTGAAGGTATGGTGTCTATAATTTATTGTGGTGAGCATTTAGATTGCATGGATGAAGTATGCAATCAAGATCGTGGAAAAAGTTCTATATTTTTCAAGGGTTTACAATCAATCATCCTACCTGTGATACCATTACTGTTAGATTCAAATGTCAATTCTACAAATATGCTCCTCTATGTTGTGCTATCAGCAAGGCTAGGATGTACTACTTTTTTTGTTAGGTACAAGGTAAGGATAATAGGATAAAGAAAGGGCCTTGCAATCAAATGATCCCCCCTTTAGCAAATTGGCTTAGGATGTAAGGGATAGGATCTTAACATTGGTATGGGATCCCAGTTCTATTCTTGTGGCTGACGAGTGGGGCAAGAATATTCAAAAGGAATATTTAACATAGTGGATCTAGAGGGAGAACCAAGGTTTGGTAAACCCTAAGAGAAGGACCATGGTGACTAAAAGATGGCTTAAATATGATTGTAAATGATCATTCTCTGACGAGGGGAGGATAGATCAAGATAATAGGATAAAGAAAGGGCCCTACAATCAAATGATCACCCTTTTAGCCAGTTGGCTTAAGATGTAAGGGATAGGGTCTTAACATTCTTCCATGGGATGGAATGGCTAAAAGAGTTGCAGTATATGTTGATATATATATGCATCTAATACAAGAAAGGATACAAAAAAGTTCTTTCAACTGTTTCAAAGATGTTGTGCAGAAAGAAACTATGAGAAACTTATCTGCAACTCTAAAGCATGTTTAAAAGATCGTCTTTAAGGGTTTTATTACAAACACCCTACTTAATCTAGGCTACCAAAGACTCAACTAAATAAGGTTAGCCTACAGAATTTACTATGAGGAGTACAACTTGCTACTAGTCTGAGGAGGTATATTTGTACATTACAAAAATATATTTTTCTTACATTATATTGTTTAGGATAAAAAATTAGATGTGTGAATCTCTACAATGTAGGGGTACATTTTGACCATATAGAGCGTGTATTAGGTTGGACAACTATGGGAGCTCACATGTATCCAAGGTAATTTTTATTCTCATTATATTGAAATGGTTGTAATATTTGTTTTTTCATAGGCTATATTGTAACTTGACAATTGCAACAATAAAGTTTAAAGTAAAAAACCAAACAACCCAAGAAATATTTTGGAAGTCCCTTTTTGATATTGTGCTAAAGCGGACTGGAAGCCTATAAAATTTTGTTATTTCATGGTAGATAGGGCTAGTGCAAACTAGAATGGTGTCCAAGCAATTTTTAGAACTAATTAACCATTGGAAGGTCATGAGAGGACTTGTGAGTTCTATTAGGTTCAGAGCCTAAACTAGCACTACCATCTTATCAAGCCAAAGTTTTAATCACTGTTTAAGGAGTTGTGCAAATAATGGCAACCTGCATCCTTTAAAGAAGAGCACAAGGCAAAGGTAAATAAAATTTAAATATGATGGCGTGAAGGTGGCTATGCAGACACAAGTTGCTTACTTCAACTTGAGTCATAGTTAAGGTGGTAAAAGTTAGGATGTTCCAATGGGGACATCACTCTTTTTAAGTTGGTTGCTATTTTTCTTATCATTTTATTGCTTTTTAATATCTCCTCAAATTGGAACACTTTTGAAGATTGCTTTATAGTGCATATTAAATCTAATAGACTTCATATAGACTCATCTTCCCTTTCCCTGCTTCAGAGAAATGCCAACTCTAGTGCTTACTTTCGGAGAGATTTACAGTTAGGGTGTATGTGAGGTCCTCAAGTGGTTACATGGGAACAAGGCTTTCTATTGAGATGTTACATGATAGGATGAAGAGAAAATTGACTCCACCCGCCTAAATAATGGTAACTGCAATTGAGGAAGTGCTCCACGGCATATCTATGGAGTACACTTCTCGAGCTTCTATTAGTGATATGAAGATGGTCCACTCAAAGCATCATTTTTCCTTTGTTAGTGAAGATGTTGGCATAGACATTAGAGTAAAAAGCTTTCATATGCCTGATGTTGAGTATGATTCTACTCTAAGACACTGCCCTCAGATAAAGCCACCTAAAATGGCTGATAAAAAGAGTGCATCACAACAGGTTGAAATTGCTTACTATATCATACAACATTTAGTAAAGGCACAAGGACAACAAAAGTTAGAATTTGAATAACAAATTATAGAGTTCAACACCCAATATGAAAACACACTAATAAAGATTCAAAAAAACAATTAAATTGTGGAGGAGAGCTCTATATTATAGGAGCTTATGATGTGGCAGCTTTGGACAATAGGGAAGCTGATTGAGGCAATCGTGTCAACTAGATCCTCAAGGAAAAAGTTGCAAGAAAAGACTTTGCCCTAGGAAATTAAGATTTTATGGAAGGAAGCGATAGGAGAAGAGGAGTCTAAGTAGAAATTTGAGGAGTTCACTAGGGAGGAGCTGGACCTAGGTGATGACTCAGAGGACACCATTAGCAAGCTAAAAGACAAGGATGAGGACATCTTAGAGGATGCAGATGCATTGCTTGAGCTTGAGAAGACAACCAAGGAGCAAGTGTAGGATGGAATCACCTATTGAGCAAGTGGCAAAGGGATGTTGAAACAAAAGGAATCTAGGATAGGTTTAGAGATTTCCACAAAGCAGTAGGTATAGGAATTTTCTATTTTAGCTAAGGGAGAGATGGTGGAGAAGCTTTAAGAAGGTGCTATTGGGTCTATCTCAAAAGTTTAGATGTTGTTAAGGACAGTTGGGATTGGCCCTAGAGATCAAACAAGGATAAGATTCACTTGTTAACAATGAATGTGGGAGCATTAGCTGAGAAGTATGAGCTTGGGCAAAACCTAAAGAAGTAGGATTGCATCCTAGGTGGTGGCATGTGGCATAGCTATGTCGACCAAACCCTGGAAACAATGGAAATCATGTGTGTGAATGATGTGCAGTGCTTCTTGGGCAAGGTGCAGTATCTCGGTTGTTTTGTGGATCATCTTTTTGATCGCACTGCACCATTGCGAGTGTTGTAAAGTCATCAACATCATCTTTCATCTAGTTTCCGGATTGTGAGTGGGCATTCAAGGATCTCAAAAAGCTATTGACGACTCCTCTAGTTTTGGCATATCCTAACTACACTTGACCTTTTATTTTGCGCATGGATGCTTTTGACATTGGTCTTGGAGGTGTGTTGAAATGAACTACTCCACGACAGAGAAGGAGTGTTTAGCAGCAGTTTGGGGTTTCTAGAAACTTCATACATATCTACATGGTTCTCAGACGTTACTTGAAGGTGATCATGCTGCTGTTACTTCATTATTGAAGTGGAAGAACCTGGTTGGTCGTACTGCTCGATGGGCTTTGAAGCTTCAAATATATGATTTTGATGTTGTTCATCGCCCAGGGAGTTCTATGGTTGATGTTGATGCCCTTTCTCGAGCTCCTCTTCCTTCTCCATTCTTTTCTCATGTTTCTGATGA